TGGCAGGACTTAACATACAACTTAATCAGTCTTAGATTCATAATTTTAAACATTAAGCGGTTTGTAATTCTTAATTTGTAAGGCATACAAAGATTCTAATGGTGCACACCATATTAATAAGTGGGTAGGCCAAATCTGTATGTCTAATATATGGCATCTTAATGAGCATTAACATCCATCTTATTAAATCTATAAATTCTTTTCAAAAATATGATACTAATTTCATTCCTGGAGATCGAAACGAGTATTACACTTGCATAAGTTTAAAATAGTTATTAAAAAGTGACAATTCAATATTTTAGTATCCCAATTCTCACCTGATGTTTTATAAGCTGGAAGTAACCCATGCAAACTTCTAATCTGGCAATCACCATATGTAAGAGCACATTATCTAGATGATCTGGAAATCTCTCAGCTAATATATCAAACAACCTTGCCAAAATGGTAAGAGAGTTAGAGGCATGTAGATTCCAGCCGAGTTTACCTAGGATGATGCCTTCCATGCGAATGAGATCTTTCACAGTGCAGCCACTTTGACTCATGTATATCAGGCCCGTAGAGGAAGGAATGTCCTGAACATTAGCAAGAACAACTACTTTCAACACACAAATGATCCCATCAGTTTTCAATATCGCTCATACTCAGGCAAAGTTCAAACACAGATCAATAATTTTCTGATATATGTAATATATATATATATATATATATATATATATATATATATATACACAAACAGCATCTATTTGATCCATCTTATCTGATATACATTACTGGGGTCTGTTTTAACAGGACTTTGGAATAAGCTTAGCAGACTGAATACAGAATTAAAACAAATGTAAATGTTAAGCAATAGTGGTCTTCTGATAGCAGCCTTAATTGCCAGGAAAATTACAAGAGCATTATGCCCAATGATTACAGAGGCATTCAACCTTTATACTTGGTGGACCATGAACATGTAATCTGGTTTTAAAAGCTGGCAGTACAATCAGCCTGCAGTTTACCTGGGACTCCTCCAATACTTTGATTGCAATGTAATAACAGCTAGTCGTGATGCAGTGGAGGTATTTAGGGTGTGCCTGGAAGAGAGGACAATATTTGTGAAATCACTGTGGTATAAAGCAGACATGAGCCTGGAAGAGAGGACAATGTCTGTGAAATCACTGTAGTATATAGCAGACATGTGCCTGGAAGAGAGGACAATATGTGTTAAGTCAATACAGTATATAGCAGATATGAGCCTAGGTTAAAAAAAAAAAAAAATCTCCCAACATTTACCATGTGACAAAATAGTTAATCGACTTAGGATCCGGGTCTGCCTTAGGTCCCATAAGAATCGAATCAAAATTCTAAGAGTTCCATGATTCTGCAGAAAAAGCATGTCTGATATATGTCTCATTCTACAATTTGTTACAAATGCTACTTCTGACCATATTCAAAGCCAGACATTCAGATATTTGACCACTTTTTCCAGGTCTTATTAAAATAAATTTATCATGACTAGATATCTTAGTGAACTGGATGTAACTACATAGTATTTCACATGAAAAATCCTTGTGATGGCCATGTAATATTACACGTAAAATCTGTGATACAGATTCTGAAATCCATGGCGATACGCATGAAAAAAAAAAAAAAAAAAAAAAAAACACAGACAGGACATTTTAACATGTCTATGAAACATCACACAATCCACTCTTCTGTTCACTTCTAACAAGGTCTCCTTTTTCTCTGCCAAGTGGACAAGTCTTCTCACTGGTGACTGATCACTTCAGCATGTCTGTCACTGCCCTGTGCCCAAACTCTTTGATACCAGCAGCACCCAACCATGTCAACAGATCTGGACTGTACCTCTTCTGTGGCTGCAGTTCACTGAATCACATCACATATTGTTTTAAGTAGTATCAAAGCATGCCTAACACCTTCCCACAAACTGCTCTATTCACTGGTATCAGTTAATTAGCACAGTTATTGATCATTTTGATCAGGTTTATTCACTGGTATCAATTCATTTCAGAAAAAAGCCTTGAACATCCTGGTACCAGTCAAACATCCTGGTATCAATTCAACATCATGGTATCAATTCAACATCCTGGTATAAGTTCAACATCCTGGTACCAGTCCAACATCCTGGTATAAGTTCAACATCCTGGTACCAGTCCAACATCATGGTATGAATTCAACATCATGGTATGAATTCAACATCATGGTATGAATTCAACATCCTGGTATAAGTTCAACATCCTGGTACCAGTCCAACATCATGGTATCAATTCAACATCATGGTATAAATTCAACATCCTGGTATAAGTTCTACATCCTGGTACCAGTCAAACATCCTGGTATTAGTCCAACATCCTGGTACCAGTCCAACATCTTTGTACCAGTTCAACATCATGGTATCAATTCAACATCATGGTATCAATTCAACATCATGGTATCAGTTCTACATCCTGGTATGAGTTCAACATCCTGCTATCAGTTCTACATCTTCTACAATCCTCCGCCCCTGTCTTCAGTTCATCTTAGCATGTCCGTTGGAGCCGAGGCTGTCCCCCCTGCCCCTGTGGGAGTCCTGAGTGCTGCTGGGCAGGAGGAGGTTGGCCACATAGGTGTACACCTTGGCATGGAGGGGGATCATCAGCACCTGGTGCCCCATGGCCCACCACCTGTAGCGTGGCCCATAGAACGGGTCACTGATGGCTGGGCACAGCATGTTGTTCAGGTTGACCTGAGAAAGCTGGAAACACAGAGTGGGAGAAAATGTGAGAAAGAGTGGAGATTCTTCAAACTCCATGGTACCCCTGTCTCCAGAGAGAAGGTGATAAGACTTGTTGCTGGACAGAGTCGTACTGGTCAGGTTAGCTGTGTGTGAATGTGTGTGTGTGTGTGTGTGTGAATGTGTTTATGTGATTGTGTGTGTTCATATGAATAGGTGGGTCTACATGTGTAAATTTGTGCATGTAGATGAGTGTGTGCATGTTAATGTGAATGCATGCATGTGAAGACTTTCTTACACAAATGACAAGAAATTCCTATGATATTTTTTTCTTCATTTTCCAAAACTCAACATTCCATACAGTCAGCAATGAGGAAAACTTACATAAGCTATATAGTGGAGTGGTCCAAAGTGCCAAAAATACAGAATTCCCAGAGCCATAAGGGGCCACCATATATCTGATATAGGTTCTGTGAGGTAAGGACCTGAAATATTAAAATAATTAATGTCATATTAATGATGATATGGCATATATATGTGTGTGCATGCATGTCTATGTGGATAATGAATTGCACAAAATCCAATCATTGAAATCCAGGGTCCCCAAATATTGGAAAGTGCCTCAGTTACCTTTTGAACCTAGAATATCTATTAGAATTATCTTTGAGCTATAACATTCATTTTTTAAAATTAAAACATCGCTACTTTCCAGCCATGAGGATCACCCCAGGTGGATAGTGCCAACTCATGAACTGGTGGTTACAGCATTCCAATGTATACAGAAAGTACTGAAGATCCACTGCTTATATCAGAGACATTATGTAAGCTGCAACGGATATTTCATAAATAGAGTCTACCCCCCCCCCCCCCCGACAGCCTCATTCCCTGTGGATAATGCTCTTAATTGACATCAAAATATTGGAGACGGACAACACTTCAATATAAGCTATTTATTGAATATATATTTATTTACTGCTTTCACAAACTTATAAATGTTATCAAACTAGATGAAAGGGAACACATTTTTGATGTGCCAATTTTTTTTCACTCTATTCATACATCTTCCCTTATATAATGTAAGCTATTTTAATATCAAAACAAACAAGACAACACCATAAAAACTTACCCCTTTCTCTCATAAGAAAATACGGTACCAGCAACATCAGTATATGCTGCACGTAATAGACCTCTGTCTCAAAAGGCAGCTGAAAGGGGAGAAGAAAGGAGTGGCTCTTACTCTGAACAGGTCTCTGGTATGTTATAATGTCAAATATCCACTAAGGTTATCTGAGACATTCAGAAGACCTAAATTAGTGGTTCAGTTCAAAGCCTAACTAAAATAATAATAATAATAATAATAATAATAATAATAATAATAATAATAATATAACGGCAAATATTGATAAAATTTCAAGGAAAGGTCAGAATTGGGTTATTTTAGAACCCATCACATTATCATTATGGTGATGATCTCATAGTTGATTGATAGATTAATTATTAAAGAGAACTGAACTGCCAATTAACTGGCAAAGGTTTGCTCTCTGTGACTGCTTTAATTCTAATTGTGCCCTAGGAAATATCCATACCAGTCTTGTGTTCGTAACAGGAAGTAGCATGGCAAGGGTTGCGCCGTGAAATGCGTACATGTGTAGACGGAATACAGTGGTCACGTACTTGTTGGAAGGGGCGGCCAGCAGAAAAATCTGAAAAAAATATCTCACACTTTTATTTCAATTCTTTTTTTTTTAGGAACAATAGTTTTCATATATTCTACTTCCGGAAAATATGCATATATATAAGAACACAGACTGCCCGGGTGAGTGTCAAAAACTTGTCCTGCTCCTGCATTTTCCAGGTCATTTGCCAAAAATGCATAAGAAAGAGAGAGATCATTATACCTATGCTACAGTAAATAGCATGCTTAATCTTACATAGTTAGCATGCACAAGAAATTAGAATTGACAGGAACTGTAACACATTAACCGACCCTTAAAATATGCCTAACACTTTGTCCTTTGTATCTGCCATATGCTGAGTGATGACTTATACACCATTCTTACAGGTAAGCCTGATAAATAACCATAAATCCTTGAGAAAATATGTTTAAGGACTTGATACAAATATTAAATTTAATTATTCACTGATGTGGCTCAAATTCTAATCTGAATAAACATCTTTGCCCACACTTATATGTGTTGTAATTCATTGTATCAAAGCTTGTGCTGGTTCTCTAACAGTTTTCAAACATCACCTGAGGAAATACTCTCAGAATGTCAGGGTGGATGCTGTAAACTTAAATTACCTCTATACCCAGTAACCCTTGGAATTCTATTTACTTAAGGCCAGTCCCAGGTGTATCAAGATGGGTCAGCCTAATATATCAGTCAGATACCCCATTTCATGGCCACCTGGTTATGATTACTTCACCATGGAAAGGCAATGTAATATCAATTAACTTAATGCTTTCCTTACAATGACAGCCAACCTAATATTAATGTATAACCCAAATCATGAAATTATTTGGTTGCGATTAGTTCACCACAGAAAGGCAATGTAATAGCTCGTAACTTTGTATATATCAGTTACAATTATGGCGGCAGTGGGTGGGACAACAGATAAATTAGATACATTTACTCTACAGTACTCATAATGTGGTAGCACACTGACATAGATTGCTGTACTAATTAAGTAAAAAACAGCCCATCTCCAGTGGAAACACACCTGAAGTTTCCAGTGACCGACAAGTGCAGTGTGTGTGTGTGAGCCTGCAGCTGGCAGCACAGAACTCTCTTTACCAAGCTGTATAAACAATGACGAGTGCTTGCTTGGATCAAACTTCACATAGCAGGGACAAGAGAGAGAGAGAGAGAGTCGGGCATAATTATAACATGGACCTTATATCAACCTAGCAACCTCTAAACTGTACCTCAGTTCATGGCTTAAATGCATGTACAGGGGCAAATTGAGGCCGTCTTCTTGAAGACCCAGAAGACAGTCAGATTTTCAACTTTACCACTGATGGGTATATATTTTTTCTGTTGGAAGACGGTCAAAAAAGGAAGATGGATCACAAAGATAATTTGGAAGACTGTAAGAAAATCTCTCTGGATCCGCTCCTGATGTGTGTCTTTGACTTTGGGGAATTACTGACCTAAATCTACAGCGCAAGTACTGATACATTTCAGGATAAAAACATGTTACCCTGAAAGAAAATGGTCAGCATCCATCTACACCTCACACTACAAGCATACACAAAGTTTAATGCTAAATAAATAAGCTTTGGTCTTATGAAAACTAATTTTTTTTCAATTTTCTTAATCACATTCAGTATTGTGCTTAATTCATTACAACCACCTCAGTGACAGTGCTCTGAAGATGTTTCCAGTGCCATACAGGCTAGCAGTCAAATCAACTGCCTCCTGAAATCAAGTCTAAAACCAGGTTTAGTAAAATGGTGCTAAACGCGGTCTTTTATTTGTCTATATTTACCACAAAAGCAAACCATGTAAATGCCTTGATAATGTATCTGTCCACCATGGTAAGAGACAAGTACTACAATACAAAGGGAAACACTCAACCTAATCCTGACAAATCAATAACTGTTGTCATATAAAGATAATCATAAACAGACAACAAGGCAAGTGGACACATGTACTCAGTATATGACATGTATTTGGAGCCAAGGTTAATGGAAAACAATTGTATTACCTCTGAGGTACAAGCTGATGCTTTTTATTTATTTATCTGGATATATATTGGTTGTAGCCTGGAAGGGTCATAACAGGATTGTTCATCAACTCTACACACTGGTGATACAAATAATTAACCCCATCAAGTCATTTGTTGTAAGTACAAATCTTCAAAAACTTCCTAAATCCATATCTTGGACCAATTATCTTCCAAATATTAATCAATCGACCCTGTTCAGCACCCATCCAATATATCAGAAGGATTAAATCTGTTATTGACATAAGATATGCCTATTGTATGTACAAGTATTCATTCTGTTAACAGATGTTGACAGATGGGCCAAAAAATGTATCCCCTACTCCTTGGTGGTGGTGGTGGTGGTGGTGGTGGTGGGGGGGGGGGAGGCAGGTGTAAAACAGCAAAGTTGATAATTAATTAGATTGTTATTGATTAACTTAATTAAGCCCTGCAAATGACGTCAAGCCAATGAGCCAGTGTTCCTCAGGGAGATGCTCTCAGCCTCTCTAAAGCCAGTTGTTTTTTTCCTTCGTCTACACTGTTAAGGATTCCACAAGCTGGCATTTTTTTGAAGTAATTAAATTAGACTGGAGGGTCGATAAACCAAACATGACCAATTAGGTAATTATTAGGTAAACTTGCATCACAGATGCACTAGCTGGAAAATTCTTCTCTCATGATAATTACTTTAACAGGTCCTAGGGCCATAATCAATAAAGACGGGTAATGGCATCTACAGTCCCTGCCAAGCTTAACTTGTAGTTTACTACTGCAAGTATTATATCACATGAAGACTTTAAGGCCATTTTGAATAGAAGATCCGAGTACCAACTGGTCCAAGGATCAAATATGGCTGACCCTACATGAAAGAAAGACCGCTTAATCCTGTTATGGTCTCTCCACTTCTCACACACCTCCCCACCCATTGTCCCTGCAGGGGCACAGTAATTAAATTAAATTTTAGCTCCATTTGACTGGACGGGTGGGGAGGCATGTGAGAGGAGGAGAGACCATTACAGGATTAAGTAGGCTTTTTTTTCATGTAGGGTTCGCCATATTTGATTCTTGGACCAGTTGATACTTGGATCTTCCATTCTGAATGACCCCTTACAAGTGTCTTCACTCTCTCTCTCTACTGGGATTCTACAATATTCAATATTCCCACACATACTACACATAGTACTCAAATTTAATGTTAAGAAAGAATAAAAAACAATTATATTTGGTGCTTGCATTCAACATCAATTTGAATAAATCAATCATCTGAATATGCCTACCACTGATATATTTCAGGTCAATTCAATCAAACAAATCTCAGATCAAACTGTGTATTACTGTAGGTAATTCCATATTCTCTGGCAGAGAACAGGCCTCATCTCCACTGTCACTTGCCATTGATGTTCCCTCTTATCACTGAATGTCAGAGACAACGCTGAAAAGGTCATCGTTATTCCACAGCTAATAAAGCCAGTGCAGTTAAAGTCAAGTGGATGTTAGAGGTGGGATATATACCACAGAGAGACTGAAGTTTATGTAGGAGTCAGTGTTAAATTAAACTATAAATTCAACTGTACATTCAACCACTGATGAAGCCATCAGCAAATCATTGTTTTAAAAAGGACTATTAATCCCTGTACTGAAGGAAAAGGGCCAAAAGCTCTTCAAATATAAATTTATTCTAAGATAAATCGTACCTAAATGGAACAACAGGTTTGGCATTCCCAAATCTCACTTCTTGGCTCATGTCTGGGAATTAAAAAAAAATGTCAACTTTTCTTTTAAATAAAAGGCTTGAGATAGCCAAAAAAAAAAAAAAAAAAGAAAAAAAAATAGTTTGACACCAATTTCACGAAAAATTGCATTTTTTAAAGTCTTTTTATCCCCTTCTTTCTTTTTTTTTAATGTACTGTTATCACAAGACCTGGAAGGTGACAATGCACATAAGAAATATTGACAATTTGCAGTCAATTTAGCTCAGGCTATATATAGCACATCAATTTCAATGTGAGATCTGAAATAAGTCTAATGATGGTGTAATGATTAGACTCTTTGCAATGACAGATCAATAAGAACAGCCACATTGTAATTACATTTATAGATTATCACGAGGTCACAAACATGAGAAATTGGCAACTTGGACTACTTTTTTTACTATTTTAAGCCCGTTTTTTATATCGACTTATTGTAAGCTAAAGGACGGCTTTTGTAATATCAAGTTCAAAGGATATAGTAATACACCAGAGAGGTGGATACAAGGAGTCCAATAATAGCAGGATAAGAATAAAATGATTTCTACAACAGCAGCCAAGAGAGAAAATAGCGTAGAGTGACAAAAAATAATAATAATAAATAAATAAATAAAATAATAATTAAAATAAAATAAAATAATAGAAAATAAAATAAAAGTTTATATTAAATACATATTTCAAAATGGGAATCTTAGCAATCTTTTGCATAGCTTGTATTTGTGATCAATTGTTTCAGTCAGTTAACTCCTGAGTCTTGGAGATATGCTATGTAAATCTTCTATAAGCTATAAAATACATGTATCCTTATGTTATTTTTGACATAAATTAATAAACAGAGCACATGCAGCAGGCATGCAGGCAGGGGAGAGGGGGGTGGGGGAGGGAGAGGGGGGTGGGGGAGGGAGAGGGGGTGGGGAGAAACTGACATACCATCCTTTGGGCTGGTTTTCTAGGTTCTAGGCAGTTTCTAAACTACAAAAAGGTAAAAAGGTCATTTTTTTTTTCAGAAATTTAACTCTGGCTAGTTTTAGGCTTGTGCTGGCACGCAAAAAAAAGTCACATTTTCAACTGTGAATGTATGGAGTTGCTGTAACCTAATAACCTCATCCATTTTCTTACCTGAGTCGATCTAATCAACTTACCAATCCACCTTGAGTCCATCCACTATGTATCAAGCTCCATAATGAACAGAAAATTGATGATGTTCAGTTTGCATGAGCAGTAAAAATCTCACTCATATCCCATGA